ACGGTGTCAATTTTTCTTTTGTCATTTCCAAAAGCGTTTGTAATATCACCACTCACTTCAAAGTACTTTTCCTTAGAGACTTCAGGTACAATTATCTCTGGAGCTTCGTTACTTTTCTTTGCAGATTTTCCTTCCAAGGAGGAGGGTCTACACAAGAAGGCAATTAAACATAACAAAAATTTTGCAAAGTAAACATATAGGCCTTGTTTTTTAAATGTTGATAGGACTGCCTAAAATTCAAATTTCCGCAAGCGAGCTGATTAAAATGATTGATTTCATAGCTTGAAATATGCATGAAGTGCACCATCTATAACTTTTATCTCTTCAGTAAAAATTTATCCTCATTGGTTGAGAATGAATTGAGATGTTAAATGATTAAAGCTAAAATTATTTGAATTCAATATATCTCCATGAAATATATTTCATAATTTGTTTATTAATTAAGGAATTGTTATCTACGGCACACATAATAGAATCTGTTTTACCTTTTTTCTTTGCTCTGCACTTCATATTGGGTGTGGTCATCTCTGGATGGATCATACCGTATCATCATTCCCCTGAAATTATTAATTACTATAATATAATATGCAATAAAACAATATTTAGAAAGATAAAAATTAATAACTGAAATTTCAAGATGTTGGAATAAGAAAAAAAAAGATAAATTTGGTATTCAACCCACACAATTAATAAAAGAGTATTCAAAATTACCAAATATATCTACTCAGAAATGAATGGATTAAATAGAATAGCCATTATGTATGATTACTTGCTGGTCTATTTATATACTCAATAGATTTATTTGTCATATATACATGTACAATACACATACAATGAAATTCGGTCTGGTTCCCTAACAAAAAAAAAAAATGTTGATATATACGATATAACTTATCTTATGGTGCTAATTGCAAATTCGTTAACACTTTGAACAATTTTTATTTTTTATTTATTTATTTGAAAGTATTATACACGTATACACGTATCCAGCTGCTTATCCTCCTGGTCACTGGGTACAGAATCAATCATACACAACGTAGTTATGCGTGTGATCAGCACCAATAATTTCAACCAGAATCATTCACCTCCTACCAGGTACCCATTGAAGAGAGGCAAAAGCAGATAAAGTGTCTTGCCCAAGGCCACAAGTAGTGCGACAAGCATTGGTCACGAACCCCGACCTTCCGATTACACGCTGTGTCACATGCTTCCGTGTAGTATGATGTGCAACTACCTCTAATGACAGAATATATTAGCGCCGCAACATAAATACGCGCCACTTCGCAATTCTGCCAGGTTCCTCATGGGTGAAAAAATAATGTAGATTTGGAGTGAGTAAAATATTCACAAAAGTGATTACCTGAAACCCAATTTCTGCCCAATCTTCTCCTTTGGTCTAGAAATGATGCCTTTAGTTCCAACAATACTCTGCAAGATGCTTAGAGATTTCTCCTTCTCTGTCTTCAAATCAACCTCATTGTCAACATCTTCATCACTTTCATCAGCGAAAGAGTTTGGAATCAAATGACTGGGATCATCGTCATCTTCATCTAGAATTATAAACAAAGGGTTTTTTCATTAAATATTAATTTTTGATAATGGAAAATATTCTCAGCCAGTAGGAAAAAGAATGTGATGTGTGCATACCACTTTGATCCTCAAGGAACGACTTATCCATCGTAAATCGATCATCACCTCCAATCTGTTCCTGTAGTTTACGCAACTGAAATATAAATTGAAATTATAACATATACTCATAGAAGGTTACAAATGCATCATTTTTGTTCATTCTAAGATTATAGGACAAAAGGGGACGAGTGCAGACAGACAGAGTAAATGCAGACAGACAGAGTAAATGCACAACGAGGGAATGATTTTACACATGGGGATAATGCACAGGGAATGGATGCGCACTGGATTGGGTATCTTTGATATAATATACATAAAAAGGATAACCCACAAAATTCCTAAGACTTATTTCTAGTGGGGTCCTTCTGGTGGTGATTGGGCAATAAAAGGGATGACAATTCCCTACTCTCTTCCAAAGAGTGTACTGCGTTCTTCAACTTGCACACGGGACCAACGCTTAAATGTCTCATCTGAAAAACGGTGCAGTTTTTGAAACTTGCATTTCAGCCCTCCAGCTGAAACACAAAGAGAGCAGCGATGGAAATTAAACCGGGGACCAAAACATCTCACGGTGCAGCGCACATAGTGGCTAACACCATAGATTAGCCGACTGAGCTAGCTGCACAGAAAGAATGGATAACATAAACAAAATACGCACCCACAAGATGTATGTACACAAATGGGATAGAGATCTAATGAGGACTGCAGACAAGAGATGGATGCACACAAAATGTTCCACCCACTTGGGGGATGGGTATCAAAAATATACAATATGTACAATATGAATGCTGAAAGAATTTGTAATTCCAAAAAATTTAAATATATATTTTAAAATGATGGCGAGGCATATTCAATGTCATTGTGTTCTTTATACTTAATATATTATATTACAAAAGAAATCAAAATTTGATGTAAAGAATTACTCTTTCTCCTGATTTTCCCTCAAACTGTGGCTTAATTTGGAAACGAGCATTATCATCCTCATCATTACTGCTATCCTCGTCACTTGCAAACAGAATTGGTCCCTTGTTGGTCTAAAAATTGAATACAAATAATTAAGGTTTTAGTGTATATATTAAGGGTTAAAGCATCAACTCATGCAGACACAGATAATATAGAGCAGGAATATAAATTCACTAGTGCTGCCCTGAACCAGGGAATAGTTTTCCATAGAGAAAAATAAATTCAGACAGCATTTAGGTGGCAAGTACACAAAAAAAACTTGTTTTTTAAGCTCAAATTTTTTTCGATTAAAAAGCTGTACTGGTTACTTAGCAAGTTATAACTGTTCTTTAAAAGTATATACTGTATATATTCTGGATGTTTAACATTTTCAACAGATATAAAGTAAAAATAAAATATGTGAACACAACTGAGTTACTTGTGCTACTATGCTAATCGCTTCATTGTCTGTCATTAGTTTTATAAAAAGTCTTGCCTAAGCTAGAGTGTAAGTTTTAAAACAAACAAGGATGTGATATTTATACAGTACGATTTTATAGGAACTAAACAGACTATAAAAACGGAGTTGGCAAGATGCCAGACCTTAGACTATGACTCTTACCAATTTAGATGGATCAGCTTTATCTTGGAAGAGAATATTCATACCATCATGCTCCTCTTCATCATCTGAGTCAAAGATGATGTGTTTTCCCTGGGCTGGTCCAGTCTTGCTATCCTAAGTACAGAACGAGACAGTTTCAGTTGAAAGAACACTCTGAGGATTAGCTAGGCTCTAATGGAAAGCCATAGTTAGCTTCCAATAATCCTTCAGTGCACTAGAGCAACAAGTTCTCCACAAACTGCAGCCCTTAAACTGCAACCTATGGATTTACTGCAAATCTTGCAGATTTAAAAATAGTCTTCTATATACTTTTTTTAAAAATAATTCTTAAACCTGCGTGTAATGCAAGCATTATGAGTGTTTACTTTACTTAGTATAGTAAAAAATGCACTTTTAAGACTAACAAAATGATTTTATTCATGAGATTTACCCGAATCAATGGGGCTTAATAGATTGGGACGAAAGTTCCTGAATAAAATCATATTGTTGTTAATCGTGAGGCGCTATATAAATCCAGAATTATTATCATGGAAGTGCTACAGACTGAAACCTCACTTGTTTAGATGTGTATAAGAGACAGCAATCATACACAACGTAGTTATGCGAATAGCAGATGAACTTGGTTACTTCATATCTTTAATCGCTACAAATTTGTATGTATACACGACTATATACTACCATAGGGGGAAACGATAACAATGGAAAGGGTTAAAAATAATACTTTAAGGCGAAAATACTGACAGAGGGGAAATTTTAACGACGTTAAGGAGATATAGATAAAGGATTTTTCACCCTATGAGTTAGTTATGAGTTGTATATATACATATATATTAGATTTTTAGAATTTTAGATAATTTGCATAATAGTTCAGACATCTCAATTTCTTTTTAATTTTGGTCTCTTGTGCCATAATTTAAATTTCAATTATTTACAATTCGACTATTATAAAACTTTTAGCTTTGGTACAACTAAAATTGCCAGGAAAACAATAGAATTATTTATGAATTTACCACAGCTGCTAAGGCCATCTGTATTGCTTTCTTCTGTCCTAACACCACTTCCTTCCTCTTCTGCACTGATTCCAGTCGTTTGATATTTGAAGATGCCTGCTTTGCAGGACTTACAGCAAGAACCCTGCGATCCAGAACCTTTTTGTGTTCTTTGATATCTAAGTTCTTAGAACTACTTCCTGATACAGCTCTGCCATCGAGAGAACTTGGTGACATCAGGTTTTGAGTCATTTCATCAGTGATATCTTCTTCATCACTGCTGTTTTCATCTTCATCACTACTGTCATCTTCATCACTACTGCTGTCTTTAACACTATGACCATTTTCATCACTTCTGCCATCTTCATCACTACTTCCATCTGTACTGCCACTGCCATCTTCATCACTAATGCCATCATCATTATTGACATCTTCACCAGTACTGGCATCTTCATCACTACTGCTGTCTTTAACACTATGACCATTTTCATCACTTCTGCCATCTTCATCACTACTTCCATCTGTACTGCCACTGCCATCTTCATCACTAATGCCATCATCATTATTGACATCTTCACCAGTACTGGCATCTTCATTTTCATTATCTTTATTACCGATATTTTTTCCATTATCACTACTGGCCTCAACATCATCATCACTACTGTTCCCTTCAACAGCTTCATTGGGTTCTTGATCTTCATCACCATATACACTACTGTTGTCACTTCCTTGTAGTGTTTGGTTTTTCAAGTGGCTATCACGGTCATTTTCAACTGCTGATGGAGCTATCTCGTCTCCAAACTCAACTACACCTAATGCATCCGGTTCCCTCTTTGACTTCTTTCCTGCCAACTTCATAATGCACTTTCCTGAACAGACATCATCAGTGTTAGCAGAAGAGACAGAATCTGTATCATCATATTCTATTTGACCTTCGACATCTAGCACATAATCCTTTCTTGCTTTTGTTTCAACAGACATTTTCTCCAAACATTTTTCAGATTGCAGGACTATGAAATCTATCATTGCTTTAGATTGATTTCCTTCTCTTTCTTCATCTTCTCTTTTACTTTCATTCACTTTATATTCATTTTCTTCTCTTTCCTCTTTGCTTTTGTCTTTTTCTTCTGAATCCTCCTGCAATACATGTAACTCTTTGGTTTCTTTACCCTGCGGTTCCAGTACCATGAACTCTATGTTTTCATTTGTTATTGGATTAATTGCGGATTGGTAATAAAACATTCTGGATGAATCAGTATTCACCATATCCAGAACATCTTCCTCTGTATCAACTGGATCTTTCGTACCAAATATAAGGTAACCAGAATCTTGTTCATAAACTTTTTCTGGTACTGATTTATTTCTCAGAGAATCAAGTTCTTTCACTGTTATTTGATTATCTGCTTCTTCTAAATCCTTCTCAGATTTATCATCATCATTAGAGTTACTTTTACTACTGGAGACATCAACCGTATCTGTGGAAATCCTTTTTATATTCTGGTTATCAGAGTCATAATTTGATTGATTTAATTTTGTTTTGGTAGAAACTGATTCTAAAATGTCAGAAGTTCTTTCAATCAATTCTTTGTTATAAGTTTTCTGTTGAGTCTCTGGTAAAATATTTGGAACATCAATTTCTTCATTTTGTCCTTTTTCTCCATCAGTGCTTTTTGATGTTAAACTTATATAAGAATTGTTCTTTGCTTTTGGTAGTATTAAAACATTTTCATGTGAAACACTTTCATCTTCTGATGACGATTCATAAACTCTGTAGTGAAGAACTACATGTTGTGTCTTTGTATCTGCCTCTTGATGGCTAAACTTGCCATATTTTTCTGAGACAATTTCAAAGTCATCAACTTTCATCTTGTCACCTTCATACTGGTAAGAAAACATATTCCCTGCACTCTGGTGGGTTAAAACTTCGGAATCACTATTTTCTGACAAGTTAGAATCTACATGGTGGCTTAGCTTTCTCTTTTTCTTTGTTGTTGGGATGCTATAAGCTCCAATCCTTTTCTGATATTGCACATTGTCTTCCACAGCATCTAACTCCCAAGTCAGTTTATCTACATTGAAGGTAATGTCCTTCTCATCTTTGAATCTTCTGAAGGCATGAGAGTGCTTGCTCGGGTCTATTTTGTTCACCTTTCTCTTGTTTTTGCTGCGAATGTATATGATAGGAACAACTCGTCCAAATCTTGTGACAGTCCAATTCTGGGGGAAATTAAATAAGAAACAATTGTCAGATCTTAAAAATTAGTAAGGAGGTATGGGGAACACTAGTATATGTTGGGCTGCCAACCAAATGGACATGAGTCAGAGAATGTTGCTGGTCACATTGCTGTGTTTTTAGTCAAGATATTTCATCAACATTTGTTTCTGTCCAACTAGGAACAATTGTACCTAACAAGTGATTGTTTTTGAATGAAATTTTATTGTGCTCAGTGGTGTATCTAAGAGGTGGGTAGGGGACACATGTCTCCCCTTCCCAGTCCCCCATCACTCCTCCTTCCCCTCCCTGTAATTCCAAGCCTCCTAGATATTCCACTGGATGTGCGGAATTAGTCTATGATCTAAATACTTCAAAAGAAGTGGAAGAGTCTGCACACTGTTTCAAATTATAACCTGTATTATTATTTTCCTGAAAAATAGGTTGTTTCTTTCAAACACATTGTAGTTATATACTCTTGATAAAGCACTGTGCTGTTTATACATAAAAGAATATCTCTAATAAATGCTGCTGTGCTTGTTCAAGAGTGGCACTTATTAGATAATTTAAGATATGTATACCTTTTCTCCTGGAATCTCAGAGCCAGGTACAGCATTCCTGATGTTGAAATCTTTAACACCAGCTTTTGAGAAACTTTCCTGCAACCTCTCTTTTGCACTCAAAGTCTTCTTGGCCTTTTTTGCTATTTCTTTGGATTTTTCTTCTTCCCTTTCCCTCTTCAATCTAATAAACAAAATTGACAACAAATTACTATAGTTAATTAGATTAATGTCAAAAGTTGAATTTCCAATTGTATATTAGATGGACAATAACTATGACTTCGGTGATTCTGGAACCTGTCAAGAGGTATTTCTTTGTTTCAGTTTCTGTTTTTTTCTATGTCCAAACAATAATCACATACTGTAGAATGAAAATACTGTACAAAAAGTCAACCAAACTATGCACTAATATAACATATTAGTGTATAGGCAATGATGCCAAATTAATAAATAAGAAAATAATGTCAAAGTAAAATAATGTCACAGTAAAAGTATCTAATAAAAGAAAATGAGGACTTTAATTTAAATTATCTCACCTTTGAAGAAAACTCTCTTTAGCTGTTTGTATTGTCAGGCTGTGACCTTTCCATTTGCTTCCATTGTATGTTTGAAGGCCTGGATAGAAGAAAATAAGAAATATAAGCTGTATAAATAATATTTATATTACAGTGTAGGAAATCTAAACTTGTTGGCAGAAAATATCTGTCTATGCAGATTTTTGTATGATCAGAAATAAATACTAGTGGGCCCACAACCCCCCCCCCCACTTTGAAAACGTTCCACCGGCTCTGTGTTGTGTGTGGTGTACAATATCCAATCCTTCATGGGTAAATTTTCAGCACGATTAAAATCAAAAACAGTATTGGGTTTGGTCTACAAGAGCTCGTGCTTCGTATAGGTCATTCCATTCATAGAAGAAGCCTTAAATGGCGGAAGCGTACATGTCGTCAGACATAGTAGCCTACATATAGGTCAATACATAACACTGGCTTTATACAATAAGATTGAAAATTGTTAATCTTACTACTGTAGCAAATACTATGTCTATGTTTAAGTCATTTAATAGTTGAAATAATATATTTATATAAATTATATTTAAAGCACTTTTTAAATAAGAAATACCACTTTTACTTTTAGGCTTAGGCCTAGTCTGTTTCAAATAATCGTCTACATTAGATGTTTGTGTACAGTATAATATGAATGTTTTGTATTGCAAGCATTTTTAATTCAATGTGGAACAAAAGACTGTACAGTGTAGGCCCTAGGCGTAGACCAAGGCCTGAACTAAAAGCCAAAAATAAAGCAAGGGGTCCATTCCAGATAACTATAAAGAATAAATCAAATTATTCAAACAATTAAAATTAGACATACATTTCTTGACATTGTTATCGTCTGCCTTCAGATCAATGTATCCAAATGTTTTGTACACTTCACCTGAAAATTGATGATAAGCAAAATTCATAAAATGACAAAAAAACACTCTTAAAATGATATAATGTCACTTAAAACACCAAGAAAAACACCAAGAAATATAAAAAATAGCTTTAATTTTCCACAGCCTGCTAAAATTATCAATAAAAGAGTGTGATGAATGTGAGAGGACAGACTTAAACACAACTTACCATTTTCATCGAACCTTGAGATGATATCTACAGATTGTACTTCACCGTATCTGCTGAATCGTTGCTCAAGTTCACTCTTTGATATCCCTTTGAAGAGCCCTCCAATGAACAGGCGATGCTGCTCAACTGCCATCGCCTTTACACTGGTTTAAATAAGAATCAACAAATACATGCAATCATAATTTTATACTTTGGTTGATAAACCTAATTTTGATAGAGCATGTTCATCCTTGTTAATTCAAAAGCATTGTCAACTTTGGTTGACTACACATGTTTTTGACATTAATAAGTGCCATTAAGCTATGTGTACGTTGCTGCTATACTGTATATTTGCCATAATTCTGGAAAAAATAAAGCGTAAAACCAACGCAGGAGGTTTTTATTACTAGGCCTAGTGCCTATATAGCTTATTAATTATTTAAAGCTTAGGGCCTTTTAGCGCCACTACTAGTACTAGGCATACGCCTAAGCTAGGCCTGCTGCTAGCCATACGTCTGATGGCACTAGGCTAGGCCTGGGAAGAAAACTGTACTGAAGTTACAACTCATGCAGTAGGGAGGGCCAGTGGCATATCTAGAAGTCTTGAAATGGGGGGGGGGCTCGATGGGTGAAGTGTGGGGGGCTCGATGATCAGTTAATTCGAGAAATAAGGTCATTTTAGGTGATTTTAACTACTTGACCGTGATTTTTGGGCCCCTCCCCTCCCCCGGATATGCCACTGGGGAGGGCATTCGTTCGGAATCCATTAATTATTAATAACAGAATCCTGTACGTATGCATAGTCTATCACTGCCGACTGTACTACTACTACTACTACTAGGCTTGTCAGGGGCTAGGACCTAAGCCTAGGTGTTACTAACTAAGGCTAGAAGGCCGGGACCTCTGCAGTTACCAGCAGTATGTAGTATGGCTATGCATGATGGGCTAGCCTAGGCCCCTACTATCCTAGGTCTATTAGGCCTAGGCCTATGAGAACTTCTAAGCCCTAGCCTTAGGCTAGCTTAACTAGGCCTAGATAGAGAGGTCTTGCACCCAGGCAGGCCGAGCTAGAAATATACATAAAAAATGCTAACTTTATGTCCTATTACATGATTCAAAATAATCACTAAAAACACTCCGTATTTTCAATTGTTAAGTTTAACAATGTTAAATAAGTAACCCTACAGGCTAGGCCCTACTTACAGTTACCTCGCACTCGCGCGCACACATGATGTACATGACAAAACGAAACAGACACACATGTTGACACTGTAGACGACAGAGGGCGCTTTGTATGGAACGCCCGCAGTGCATTTATCACTGCATCTCGCATTGGATTTTCACATTCAACATCACAGTAAATTAAAATTTAGATGTGTTATAGAAGCTCGCATTTATACAGGTCTCACAGAAGTGGATTCTTCCAACTTTTGAATCCTGCAGGTTGCTGTATTGGATTGGATTTTTTTTTATTTATTAAACAGTTGGGACGGCCTTCTGGTGATGAATTGGGCAGTACACCAGGAGACAATGCCCCATTTATTTATTTATTTATTAAAAATTTGTCACGATATATAAAAATACATATTGACCGGGGGCGTGACTATACTCTTTTAAAAAAAGTTTACTGAGTGCTTTGATGTGCACATCGACCATATTGCACCAATGACATGGAACAAACAGTTTAAACACCTTATCTGAATGACTGAATGACTGCACTACCATAACTTGCATTTCAGCCCATCAACAATAAGGGGTGCAGACAATATTGAACGGGAGATCAAAGCTACGTAAGGATCACCACAGTTTTAGTGCCCACACAGTGGCTACCACCAGTTTAGCTGACTGAGCTAAGCTGCTCTGCACTTAATTGGATATTTTGTATAACAGATATTTATTGAATTTGTATGAACTTTTTTGTTCATTTTCTGTCATTTTTGTAAATTTAGTTTAGTATGTAGTAAATTGTACTGTATTTATCTTGCCTAATTTTGCAACCATAAGGAAATGACAAATTATAATACAAAAAAATATGGATACACACTTTATTATTTTAATAAAAATTGCATGTTTCCCCTTTACTACCAAAGAACAAGTAATATTGCATTTGATATTATTATAAGTACTGCTACAGTGCAACTTCACATTCTAAGTTAGTTAATCAGTTATTATAGCATGAACTATTCTACTGCTGTAAGCCAGGTATTTTATAGTATTTTGACTGATAATCTTAACTGCAGTAAAATAACATAATTTACCTTTACCACCAACACAGAATAATATAACAGTTCCTGGACATCCCACCTAATAATTTCTCTTTGACCAAAATTTTCATTTTTTTTTTTTTTTTTTGCTGTTTTTTTTTTTTTTTTTGACTTTCTGGCAATTGCATTCCAATTGCTCTCCTTTCCACTTTTCTCTATAATTTTCTGCAAACAGCATAGGGACTCTAGCAGTATGCAATATACAAGCACAATTGATAATAATAAACCTCAGCAGAGAGCATATCTCCGACCACCACCAATCTCTTTCCATAAAATAAATCCTCAAAAATATGTGCCTAAATTCCAACCACAAACCACCATCTATTTTTTTTTAAATTACGCTAACACGAAAGTTTCATTTAGATCAGTTGTTTTTTTTTTAGATATCTGATCTAGGACGTTTTGCTTTGAATTGTCCATATATCTACATCCACACCAACGTTTAATCACCTCATTTTTCTATCGCTTTTTACTTCTTATCAGTTGTACACCCGCCAATTCCTTACATCTTCTGGCTTAACACACTGGCACGTTTTTACGCTTAACAGCTGACAAAAAAAAAAATACATGCCATGTATTCGTGTTGAAATGGAAATAAATATTATGCAAATCGACAAATATGGGGATTTGGCTTTTAGCGTCACATGTTTAAATGTATAGATGGATTAAAAATATTCCCAATAAGTTCTGAAAAAATGAAGTTAGTACATCTAAATTGCTGTACACCTTTACTGCAATTGCATTGCGGTAAATATTCATCATATAGATTGTCTGCCCATTAATACGGTGAACATATTCAAACGATTCTCATATCCACACCTTACTCCGGATGGTCACCAAAATTTTAAAAACAACTATTCTGGGTAGTGTCATTTAGAGCAATTGATTATTTTCTAGGTCTGGGAACTTGGAATTTTGAATGACCCTCAAATTCACACCCGTGCCTGGTGCTTATTGCCTCGTATTATCCACTCCTATTGCTAAATCCTTATCTTCTACTTATGAAAGCAATATGGCCGTCATTGTTTAAAAAAAATTGAAATTAATTGCATACAAATTAATTAAATATTCATAAAAAATTCACATAAATATACAAGTAGGCCTACAATATCTTAATACCACACACAACTGTAAACAATTTATAACGATTACTATGGATCTATGACTAAATGAATATAATATTGAAGATAAAAATCAATTTACATGAAATACCGTATGCATCTAAATTACATTGAAACTACATACCTTGTAAACCACATTCATTCATTCATTGAGCCATCATTTTATTTAAAGAATTAAGCATATGTGGCAAAGACAAGCCAAACCAGTCACTCGTCGCAAATCGTGTTTCAGAGAAAATGGCCAAAACATGTTGGAATGTCAAATTTTTAAAAATCGATTTTATTGCACTAAACTACCCTTTATATATCTACACACCATTCTATGCTGTTATTTTCCCCATTTTCAATGTTAAAACAATACTTTTTAAGGATTTAAAGATAGTTTCTGCATGAGAAATGCCTGAAATCATAAACTTTGACGGTTAATTTCTCATATATTGTTCTTTAAACAACTGTGTGGTTAAACGCTTGTAACTTCATAAGGAAATGTCCAACTTGAATGATTTTTTTACCATTTTATAGCTATTATTTTACTCTCTAACACTGTATTAATAACTCAAAATCGATTTTTGCGACGAGTGACTGATTTGGCTTGTCTTTGCCACACATACCTCTTTTAGCTATAATAAAAAAATTCCAGCTTATTTCAAAGGATAAATAATGGTAAATTCAAATGGTAAAGATCATATTCATGATTAACCTATGCCCATGCAGAGGAGGTTGGCAATATATTTAGATTACAGGTGGGCATGGTACAGTCAAAAACAAATTTGTTGCGACCAACCCATTGTAAGTGGGTCGGATGTCCAAACTGAATTTCTGACTTAATAATAGGCAAATTTATGTGTTTGCTAAACCTCAATATACTTTTTTTTTTCGTTTTAGTTTTAGTATTTTTTTTACGGATGTTTGGAGTTAATTAAAATAATCACACCACCAAAATACGACATTGTTTTACTGTACTATACCAATTTTAGATAAAAATATCAGTTGACTTTACTACAAAAATATAATCTATAGTATTATACTACAATACACCAACATCATATATGTTGAGGTGGTTTTTTAAAAATATTTATCCATTTATTATTGTAGTAATTGAATGTTCAAGCTTAATTCTATTTGATAGTTTACAAAAACACTAAGCCAGTGTTATGCAACCAGTAGTCTGCCAAAAATTATTGGTAGTCCATCAATAGCTTATAAATACTACAGTCATATTGCTAATTGGATTATTAGTTCTGGAAATCAATTTTAACTTTAAAAAAATTCAGTTCTGAATTTACATGGCCTTCATTATTATAGAAAATAATGTACTAGAAGAAAATATGCATCTATATCCCTAAATGTATCCGTAACTATATCACTGATAGAATACAAATGGTCAAGCCTCAAGGTATCCCCTCCAACAATGTTAGACATTGCATCAGAGTTAGCTTCTTTTAGTGTTGTTAAAAATTTCAGTGCCATATATGTCTAAATAGTTAAAGTACAAATGATGTAGAGACAGACAGCAAGGAAGGTTATTTTATTTTTAACTTCATACAAATCGCAGCCTCACAGCTGAATTACATGTAATCATAAAGTAAGAAACATAACAGCACTCCACAGACAAGAGAGTCCCAAGCAATGACCTCAGTTGTTATGCTTAATCAAATTTGTCAAAAAAGTGACCGCACTTTATTATTAAACAATGGAAATAATAATACCAATGAACTCCATCCTTTACATAATGATATAATAAACAAATCAGAGACTATTTGATAAGTTTAAGAAAAATAAAATACTTCAAGGGTAATCAATTATTACTTTAATTTATTTATTTAAATGTTTTTACATTAAGTATAAGTTTTATTAATCTGTATCTGTATCTGAATCTCCATCTTCATCAACACGTTCTTCATCACTGGGTAAGTATAGGCTTGGTATAGCCATTATGTCCCGTTCTATCATATCTGATGCTCTTTTCACCTTATATGCAAATGCAGATTTGTCAGTTTCACATTGTATATCCTTGCATATCACACGACAAGCATTGTGTATCTCTTGAAAGATACTAATCAACTTTTGCATTGTATTAACAATCTCACCATCTGGAATTTCCCCTGCTAAACATCTGATATCTTCAAAAGACTGGAATTAAATATACAAATGGGTTTTTTCATGCCCAAATTCACTTCAGAATTGAAACATAAGCCTATTTTACAAAATAATTTACAGAAATATTATAGAAATGTAATGGTTTTTTTTTCTAATCTCCAGAACACAGGGCCAAATTTAACTGAACCAAATAAAATTCTAATGTTTTGACAATATTCTAAAAGTAGAGTAAATAATATTGTTAAAAAGTATTAACACAAATGATTAGAGAAAAGATAGCTTACTTTTCCTTTAGCCCATTCAAAAACTACGTCTGCAAATCCTTGTTTGAATTGGTCAACATAATCTTTCACATCAAAATCTTTATCATATATCTGCTTATGAGCACCTAGATTTCTTGCAATGGATTTAATATCCTGCATTACCTGTAAACCAAATACTTATGATTTTGAATATCAACACAAGTTTTTACTGAGATATTTATAACTTTTTTCAATTTAATTCACAATCAATGCAAGAATAATGATCATAGAAAAACAAAAATAAGATTGATTGGTCATTAAAGAATAAATCAACTAATACATATAATAAACAATTAACCTATATCTATCAGTAAAATCAATTGGTTCACTGTAATCAATCAATTGGTTGAATCCATTTAAATCAATTAATAAAATAAACAAATTTGTTTAATAAATTTGTGTAAAATATTAATAAGCCATCATAATTTATCAAAATACCATTACTGTTTAAATGTGTATTTTAGGCGGAATTGATTTGTGTTGAATGTGATAAAACAGTACTGTACATAGAATGTTTGTATTGTACCTTTTTAACCTTTCTATCAATCATTATGTCACTAGGTTCCTTTCCATGATAAACCATACAGGACAAAGCTGAAGCAATCTCATGTGGCTCTAAGTCATCAAGAATGTTTTCAAAGATAATTTCAGTCAATAAGACCTCATTGTGACTGAATTGGCAGGCTACAATTCCCTTCGGCTGAATCTCCATGTTGTCGTTGAAGTAATTCAGACTTTTCAACACCTTAACAGGAAAAAACAATATAAACCAACCGTTCATTACTATATACAGCATGCTATAAATACTCAGGTACTATCAACTCTACTTTTTCCACTCAGTTCACAGAACCTGTATTGTAATTGAAATAATTATAATTTTTTATGTTAAAAAACAGTTGGCCTAAAAAATCTCTACTAAGCTTTAATGGATTAGATTTCATTTATTCTGTGTAAACACCGAGGATATCCCACGAAAGCCTAAAAGAAGACTTATTTCCAGGGGGTCCTTCTGGTGGTGATTGGGCAGCACACCCAAGAGTGTGCTGCGTTCTTTAACGTTCACATAAGCCACCAATGCACGCAGGATCAACGGCTTAAACGTCTCATCCGAAAGACGGTGTTGTATAGTAACTTGTATTTCAGCCCTCCAGCTGAAACACAAGGAGAGGCAGTGATGGAATTGAACTGGAGACCTGGAGATCTCCACGGTTCATCGAAAACACAGTGGCTACCACCAGATTAGTCGACTGACCTAAGCTGCTCTCTTATAAAGAAAGAAATTTGCACACAAATTTGTCCAAATACAGTATTATTGGACATTAATTGCTATGCAACAAGGAAATTCCCTAGTCATTGAATAACAGCTACAATTGTACCAGTACCCAAAGTTCAGAGCAAAATTTGTTTAAATAACTAATAACCAATTCCTCTGAACTGATTGACCGAGGGAACTGACCGAGGGGTACCATTGTCAGGCTCTCTGCTACATTGGGTGCATAACCAGATGCCTTGAAAATGTACTCATATGCAGGGCAGGATTGAGGGCTGAAGAAGGCGTGGATGTCACATGTCAAAGATTGATCAATCTTTAGTTGGCCACTGCCTCTAAGAAAAGGTGTACAAAACAGCTGCGAACTGACATAGGTGGGCAGTCATCACAGAAGTAATGAACTGTCAGCCATGATGGAGACGTACCAACCAATTAATCAAATCTTTCTGATGCCAGTCTTTCCAAGAGTATTAAACTTTTTTTTTTAATATTGGGAGTGGATAATACTTATATTATATTCAACAACCTGGAAACCATGTGAATCATCAACCACTCACCACCTCATTGATTTATATACAAGAGTGCAACATTAAAATGTTAATTTATTAACTGTAGACTATACCAAAGTATTTTAATGACAATAGCTCCTTGTGTGCATTGTCACCCACAGCCCAACAGTGTGAGCTGAAAAGGATTGAAAAGCTTTCACAATTATTCTGGGTAAAATGTCTCACACTTCAATGAGATTACTATGATAATCTATTAATTAGGTTTTGCATATTATCTAGCTAACAGATGGACAAACAGACTGACAGACAAAAGAAATGACAGTGAATACACAACCTAACCAGAAAAGTCAGAATACAGCTCTCACTGACCACAGTAGGCATTTACCTCCTGTCTTTGCTGAAATTGAGGAAGCAGCAGCAAACTTCTTTCAGAGAGTTTTTTTTTCACTTCTTCTACTTTCTCCTTCAATTCTTGCTGCTTTTCATGCATTTCATACTACAGTATAGAGAAAAAAAAAACCAACAAAAATTTATAAAAATTGTAAGCAAAACAGAACACGTTCAAATTATCACTTTCTTATCATCACCATCACCATTCTGAATACAAGTTTTAGTTTTAAATTTGAATTAACAGAATAAATAAATATATTCCTTACATGCTTGTGCAGATTTTTGCACTGAAGACATTGAAACTTGAAGTTCGGAAATTCCTTTTTTACACAGTCTTGTAGTTTTTTCACAGCATCTTTAGATAAGGAGCTAAAATACATTAGACAGAAGATATTAACAAATAAAATATTGCAAATAGATAATGTAATAAATATAATATTAAGAAGTAATAACATAACCGTTTTACAATTTTAGTAAATCTTATGAATAATAATATCATGGCACATTTATATGGCACATATTGCACATTGCCCGTATGCTACCTAAGTAATAATAAAATAATAAAAACACAACAACAATAATAATAACAACAATAGCAACAACAAAAATAGTGATAATGGACACAATGGAAAAAAGTCTACTCAATTAGACACTGATGAGCACCATGGTTCCTATTAAAGTTATTTTCCCTAGAGTCCAATCCATCAGATTTTAGGCAGTTAGGTGCAGGCGCAGATGCAGATGTTGCGATCGCAACCCCCTAAATTGTATTAAGAAAAATAATTGTTGTATTGTATTGTTGATATATTATTTTTATTATTAAAAATGTAGTACCAGTAAGATTCAGAAACTATGAGATTGCTATTTTGGTGGTGCAGATTCCCACACCCCTCCCCCCCACCGGGGGTGACACCACAAGTCATAAACATTCCATAAACGTTTTCGTCTGTTTGGGGTAGACTTTTCAGGAGTGGGGGCATTGTCTGATTGTTTTGGCTTTACTTTTCTCAAACTAGAAAATCAATAAATAGTGCGTACTGTCATATCCAGTTCAGCTTGGGTAAGCAAATTGAAAAAGAACCGATGTCTGGAAAGTTATTTGCATGTTTACAAAATGTCAGTGTAACATACATCACACACACATATACACAGAGTTTATTAAAAAGGCTCTTATTGTTAATAGGAACCAATAATTTGTTAATACACACACACACACACTCACTCACTCCTGAAGATTGCATTAGCATGAAACAGT